CAGCCCCTGGGCCCTCTTGAGTGCTCTATTTTTCTAAGGAGGTTTGAAATTTGAAGCCATTTGCCTTCTGGCTGCTGGAAAGGAATTTTCTTTTTCCATCTCCAATAAATACGTACGTCTGAGAGCTCATGCTTATTGTTCAGGCTCCGCTCTGGTTTGTGCTTGCAGAGGTGATGTGAAGGGAGGCAAACTCCCTTGTCTGATCAGCTCTAGTATTTCTGGCTGCTCAAAACTCTCCCAGAATGGAGGCAATAAAGGCTCAGGCAATAGTGGGGGTTTCCAGTACACGGTCTGTGGTGGGGGAGGACCTGCTGGAATGATTCAGGGGATTTTACAACCTGGGGATCTCACCCCGAGCCTCAGAGCCCTGGTCTGCTTAAGGAAGATTGGACTAAATTGCAATGGAGATGGAGGAAGCCTCCAACAGTTATGTTATTAAAGGATGTTGTGGTCCCATTTCTGAGGCACCAGGCAGGTGTTTCGAGTTGCTGTGTGCTTTAAAGCATCCTTGTGGGATATAGTCTCTATGCCAGGGAGGGATGAGAGGGGAAATCCCTGGTAGCCAGGGCTCTGTGGCATGAGCAGTGCATGTGCCCCATGGCTCTCTGCACACCCACTGCTCCAGAGGGACTGGGGTTATCTCCTCCTCCTGCAGGAATTGGCATTGAGCCTCCTTCATGTCATGGGGCAGGCTGAGTTCCTCAGTCTTGTGCTGTGGGTTCACTGATACCTGGGTTCCCTTCAGTGTCAGTTAATATGTGATTTACCAATCTTAAATGCCTTGAGAGCAGCAGCTTAAACTGATTGATAGGTGTGATCTCTGTAGTTGTCTATTCTCTCCCCTTCTCATTCCATATGTATATTTTATGTGCAGACTTCTTTATTCTTCAGTAACTTCTGTCCACTTATGTGTGCCTTCCTCCATCATGGCTGCCTCTGCCACTCCAAGTATAGAGTCTGTTGTTTGACTTTGACCTTCTGTGCTAACAGTGATGCTGTGCTTTCCTTGCCTTCCTGAATATCTCACTCCTGCATGTGGCTGATGCTGCTTCCTGCCTCCTTAGGCTTTGCTTTTACACAAGCTGCAGCTGCACAGAGCCTCTCCAGAGCTCCTCACTTCCCTTCTGCTTTTCACGTGGCTCAAAAATGGTGCACGTACCAGATCCAAACAAGTGGGGGTTTGCATGCATGACTCCTGTAATCCTTAGAATGATTTACCATGGTAATAGGATTAAAGTACTTGTACAACAGAGTAAGTTCTGCAGTCTGTGGTTGTGAAGTGGTGCAAAATACTGACTGTTCTATAAGCTGGTATCCAAGAAAGTGCATGTGAAAGCCAGAAGGAAGGTACTTGTAATCAAATTCAGTCTCTGAAGTAGTACCTATAACTCCTTCAAGACAGGTTTGTTCTCTGGTTTTGTTCTTGGTTTTTAATAGGAACTATTTTTCCTATATAGGAACTAAAATGACAAATTCAATTGTGATTCTTTCAGCTGAAGTTAAAGCATGCAATAGTTCATACTAAAGTTTTTTTGGGTCAAATTGTTAGATAAATATTTGTTTCTAGAACCCTAAACCAAAATCCCTTTGTGTATGATGATTCTATAACACACAGCAGTAAAACTAGAAACTTGAGGTGAACTTAATTTAAGAAAAGGCTTTCTTAAACCTGGCAACATTCTGATTTGGCACCTGCAAGTGCAGTCTGTTGGGTTGCTTGTCTTTCAATGCTTTGCACTGCTGATTTTTACCCTGCCAGATGCTGCATGCATTGGTTGGATCTGGCTTTCACTGTGGAGGTGTCCTCATGTTGCTTGGACATCTCTTCCCTCAGCTGACCTGATTCTTAGTGGAATGATCTGATTGCACTGCTTGAATTCACAAACTGCATGTAACTTAATGCACCCTTTCTTGCGAGCTTTGGAATTGCAAAGGTGGAATGACTGTTATAATCAGGATAAGTAGGATTTGAAACAATTGAAGTTTAAATCTAAAATCATGACAGTTAAGCTACAGCAGATAGAATTCATGCTGCAGTTTGCCTATCATACATTGCAACCTTCTATTTTTGTGGCACCTCCAAGTGTGGGATGCTGCCAACAAATAGCAGACTGCCTTTCCCAAACGCTAGCAGGATTAATGGGAATCCAGATCCAGCTTGACAATCCCTTAAAACTTAGCATGGTCCCTTGATTTTGACCTCAGTGCTTTGAAAGCAGGCTATTCCACATATAGCACTTATTTCCCATAGAGCTGATTTAGCATATCTGAGTAAAACTTATTGTTCTGGATGCTTTTGAAGCTTTCACTGGGTGGGTTGGTTGATGAGTTCATGAGGGGATGTCTGTGCCTGGTAAATGGCTACTGAGATGGTGAAAAGCTCCCTTCAGGCTGTTTCAAACTGGGCTCTCTGCTTCCCAACTGCCTTTTTGGTCTTGTTTTTGCATTTAAACTTCAATGGTTTGAGCGAGGCATGAGGCAGCTCCGTTCTGTCCTGTTCTGATGCACTGGCATTTGTGACCCCCCCCCCCAGAACAACGACAACGAGACAGCACTGCACTGTGCTGCACAGTATGGCCACACAGAGGTGGTGAAGGTCCTTCTGGAGGAGCTGACCGACCCCACCATGCGCAATAACAAGTTTGAGACTCCTCTGGACCTGGCTGCACTCTACGGGAGGCTGGAAGTTGTGAAGATGCTCTTGAATGCTCACCCCAATCTCTTAAGCTGCAACACTAAGAAACACACTCCTCTGCACTTGGCAGCTAGGAATGGTCACAAAACTGTAGTCCATGTCCTCCTGGATGCTGGCATGGATAGCAACTATCAGGTATCTGGTTTGTCTGTGTGTGAAGGGCTGCTCTGATAGCTGGGGGATGGAGAACCCCTGTGGTTACATATGGAGAGCTCCACCTAACCTTCCTCCCAGAGGGATCCTTTATGAAAGACGAGCAGTAGCTTTGTTTGCCTCTGGGCTGTTTGTTCAGCTCTTAGTTGCTCCGAGAAGCTGCTCAGAGGGGTTCTGGTGCTGTGCATGCTTCCTGCCTGCTTGGTAGTTGGACAAAGAGCCCCAGAAACATGGCAAAGGAGAAAAAAAGCCAAAGCTGTTCTGTCCTGCAATACTGTGAGCTCTTGATAGTGATGGAGGCAAATTGTGTCTCTTCCTATCAAGCCACTTGTGAATATGCTGGTTTTGCATTTCTAGCTTGTACGGGGTGGTCTTGTCTTTCCTTTCCAGGACATGACCTCTCACTAAGCTGTACAAAGTCCTTTCTTGGTCTCTAACCTGGGCCTGCATGTCTCTGAAGAGACCATCCCCATTTTCCATTCCAAATTCTCAGCATTGTAATAAGACTGGTAGCCTGTCCTCAGGTGTAGATGTTGTTGCCCATGCTTTGTATATGATGCCATATATTTATTGCTTCTGTAACCTTCTAAAACGTGCCTCCATCCCCATTCCCCAGTCTGGCTTCATGCTATTTTTCCATTTAATTTGCAGACTGAAAAAGGCAGTGCTTTGCACGAAGCTGCTTTGTTTGGCAAGACAGATGTGGTACAAATATTGCTGGCTGCAGGTGAGAGAATGATCCTCTTTTGAAGCAATAACGTGGTGATCCTTTCACCCAGAACTTGAGGAAACCCCATTATAGTGGCAGCATGCTTCTCCAACCAGCTATCAGAGTTCCTCTGAGAGGGCTATAGAAGTTATCTCTGTCTTTGGCTTCAGTTCTGCCTCTCTAGAGCGTTTTTTAGCTCCCCCCAGTGATGATCACAAATGTAAGATCTGACTTAACATGAAGACATGACTTTGCACATAGTTAGAAGATATTCTTGCTTTTGCCTTCTCTACATCTATTGCCATAGGTATTGATGTGAATATAAAGGATAACAGAGGACTGACAGCTCTGGATATTGTGAGGGAACTTCCCTCTCAGAAAAGCCAACACATAGCAGCTCTTATTGAAGGTAAGTGATGTAGCTCTGTGTGTGGGGAAAAGTTTGGGGTGCTGATTGTGCTAGTGCACATACAAGATTTTATTCTGTAGTCCTGGAAGGTGCTGGAAGCAGAGCAGCTTCAGGTCAGGTCCCTCAGTGAGAATCTTACAGTAGGAAGGAATGATGCTTCAGTGCTCTGGTGAACCAGCATTTGCTCCAGACCAAACACTTGCAGAGGGATGTTTGAGTGGGCTTTAGGGGGGTTAGCTCCTTTGCTGAAGGAGTGTGACATAACTTTTTGAGTTCCAGTGGGCTTAATTGAGGTTTGTTTAACTCACTTTAGAAGTTAATGAAAATTAAAGATAGCCTAAATCTGTTTGCAGAAAGTGAAGTAAGTATCTTTAGAAATGGTTTTGGATTAGCTGTCCCTCCATGTGTGTAGGCAAATAGTTGTCCACAGATCTTAAATCCTACTCCTCACTTCATTCTGAAGCTTGGGCATGGATTTTTTTACAAATGAGGTTTACAGAAAAGGCCTTGATTACTTGTGGCTTATTAAGGAGCTTGGCCCATTGTGTCTGTCCAAGTTAGGGAACGAAATGTGGCATTTTAGCTAAATTCATACCTTGTAATTATGCTGTCTCAATTTCCTCTCAGCTGTGGGGAGAGAGATCAGAAGCGTATGCAACTGGTGTGCATTATTCATGCTTTGCATTTGAGAGCTTTACAGGTTCAAAGCACTTTGCAGACTTTTAATTAAGCTTTGCCTGTGAGGCTGGTGGGTATTATCTCTATTCTGAAATAGAAGACAAAAAATGGGCTTTATAACTGAAGTTCTTGCAGGTAAATGCTGTTAGTTTGCTCCTGTGAGCTGGCTCTGTGAGGTGTTGCTGTCTGACTTTGTGCAAGGAGGTTTAATATTTCTGGCTTTGCCTGTGATTTGGATCATGGCTAGAATTGGTTTCTCTGTCTTATGACTCCAGAAGACCAGACTACATCTCTGTTTAGTGATGTAGCTTGTGTCTACAACATGAAGTAATCTGCTCCATGATGATGTGTCTGTACAGGAGCTTTGCAGCTTTCTGATTAAAGACTCCTGTAAAAGTTCAAAGACCCATCCTTGACCTTGTGTGTGTGATTAAAGAGGTCTCCTGCTTCTATTTTGGGATCTGAGCTGCAAGTTTTAATAATGGGTTATTTTTTGGAGAGTTCATAAGCTGACAGTTGGCCTTCCATCCAGAAGGGAGGAAGTACCTTATGCTGAAGTGGATGTAAAACTAGACTGACACAAACTGACCCTGTCATTCCACCTCACTGCAGATTACACCATCGGGAAGAAAAGTGCCAAAGCTGCAGAGAAGACTGTTCAAGCACCACTTGTTCCTCCCACTGATCCTGTGGGCCGGATATCTCAGGGTAGGCTTCATACCACAAGAGTCAGTAGCACTCTTCTTCATCAAGTGCTGACTTTCCAAGGGCAGAAGGCCTGAGTGACGTGCTTGTGTCTCTTCTCCTCTCCCAGGTGATGTGGAGAAAGCAGTTACAGAACTGATCATAGACTTTGACGTGAACCCAGAAGAGGAGAGTCCATATGAAGCTTTGTACAATGCAACGTCCTGCCACTCCCTGGACAGCCTTGCCAGTGGGAGATCCTCAGATCGGGAGTCTCTGAATAAGGAACCTGAATCAACTGGTCACAAAGCAGCAGGAGTCAGGCCTGTATGTACCTACGTGTGCTCCTCCCTGCTTGCCTTAGGATAGGCAACTTGCCTCCAATTTCATAGTATTGCACAGGCTCCCAATCCCCCAGCTTGAGGAAGTCTTTAAACCCATCCCTGACACTGATTGCAGCAGGCAGGTACCTCTCCTTTTCACTGACCTGTTCACATAACCCCTCTTGTATTGCCCACAAGTAGCCACTTCTTTGTAGTGATTTTCACTTCGTGTTGCATCCATCTGTTTTCTGGCAGTTGAATTTGGGTGCCAGTGAATTTGGGTTTATCAGGACATTACACTTAGCTGAAGGGCTAACTTGTGTAGAAGAATGCTTTGGAAACTTCTGTGCGGTATTTTTCTCATCTCTCTTGCTCTCTGCTTTGCCCAAGAGAAGGCTCTCAAGAAATTATCTTTAAGAATATCCCATTGGAATCTAGTTGGCAGTGGAACCTTTTTGGGGTGTGTGTATTACTTGCGGAGATCTGTAGAGGGTACTCAAGGCTTTACAAAGCAATGCAAAGCTCCTGGAACTGTCTTACAGTGAAGTCTTCCTTACCTTCTGCTAGTTGCATCTGCTGCCCCCTTAGCAGTGCCTATGGGGCAGATGGGATGCTGGCCTTGCAGCATGCTGTGTCAGCTTCAGGGGTGCTTTTCTGCTCAGTTTTACAAAGCCTGCTCTGTGGATGTAGTTCTAGACAAAAGGCAAAGAACAATTAAACTGCTGCTGGTACAGTAACCATGATTCCTCTGTCTCTACAAAGAGGGGCATCTTTTTTCCTGTAGTATTAGCAAATGTAGTAGAAATGAAACAAAAGCTCCAGAAGCCTGACATTTCAGACAGATCTCTCTCTAGGATGCGCAGTACACTGTGCACTATCCTGTTACTAACTGAATCTTGGTGGCTTACAGCCCTCTATGTACTGTCCTGTATTGATGGTGTCTGGTGTGAAATAAGCTCAGCTCTGCCACAAATAAGACGAGAGGCTGAACTGCAGTGAAAAGGGGGAAGGAGGGACCACGCTCGATGAGCTCGCTGGAGTTTATCCCTAAACTTGTTTGGTTTTGGAATGAGCAGTCCACCTTTCCGTCTCTCCCTTTGCCATTAGATGGAGCTGTTGCAGGGCAGGAGATGACATGGAGCTGTGTTCAGCTCTGCATGGAGGCAAAGCAGCACAACTCTCGCTGCCCACAGGCAATACTTGGATGTTTGAGGAATGCAGTGCAGCATTGTCTCTTGATCCCTAGGGTTTTGCACTATAAAAGGTTCCTCTGGAATGACTTACTGTTTTATTAAGACACAAGCGATGTCTTCCCTTTCTACCCATTTGCATGAGTTCATTACTGACCTTGGCTGTGTGTTGCCCTGCCGCTGAGATTACCAGTCTGGGTCTGAATGAATTGGCTGAGGTAATGAAGTACTAAGCCTGTGTAAACAGCACCTTCCACCCCAGCAGTTTCATTCTCCTGACAGGACAGTTGGTGCTCACGTGGGCTGGCGCTGGCCTTGTGCAGTGTCACCACTGCAGAGCACAAGTGGGTGCTCTGTTATCAGTAGCAGTCAAGCTCTGCGCTGGTAGGACTAAACTTCTCCACCCACATGAATTTGAGGAGGTCCTTACCATGCTGCATTCACAGCAGCATGGACACAGTGGTGGAAGCAGAAGGGGATGTGCTTTAACACAACACAGTTGACTGTGATCTTGTAAACCACAGAGAGAACGTCCACCACCACCTGCCAAGCCACCGCCTGATGAAGAGGAGGAGCAGCATGTGGAGAAGATAGGCCATGGTGCTTCCTCTGAGGTATGTGATGTTTGATCTGGGGTGTTTTACAGGAGTGTGGTTTAAAGATCAATTTAATCAGTTTGGCAGGACCCAGCCATGATAATTAACCTTGCAAGAAGGGTTGTGAATGGGAAGTCTTCTTTCATTCCAGCATTGCTGCTGTCACTTGCCATGGGAACTTCCTTTGTGCAGTTCTTCCAGAGCACCTCTGTGTTGCCCTTTAGCCTTACTTTCCTATTCTTGGCTGGGAATTCCCATAGGAAGAGGTTTTTTTGAGTCACATTGTGATGTGGACTGTTGCCCATTTGTAATGATCCCACCAACTGCATCTTCACTTGAGACTGAAACGCAGAGGGCTGTTAGTTCCTGCTTCCGCTGAGCTTCCAGATGTGGAGGAGCAGCGTGGGCTTGTGGATCCCACTGACATGAACTGGGATCAGGGGCTTGAATTCAGCTGAGAATGTGGCCCAGCATATGTTAATGCTGTCTCTGCAGAGGTCAATCCATGTGAGCTGCTTTTTGATGAAGCTAAAGCTTTCCTATTCTGCATCTTTGCTCTTGGGCTTCCTATTGCTCATTTTTACTCCATTTTACATCACGCGGATGTGTAGTCTCTCCAGGAGACCCATCTATGGGGGGGTGTGTGTGTTGTGAAACCACAAATGTGTCTTGGCAACTTCTGACACCCAGGAAAATCTTCAAAGCAAACCCAAATCTTGAGGATTTCCTTGTTTTTCCGAGTGCCGTGGGTTGTATGTAAAACAAGTGGAGTGCGTTGTAACAGCCTCCCATTCACCAGATGCTTTGCTTTGAACGTGTTGATCTGCTGAAGTTCCTACAAGGCAGAAATGTGATCTGTTTTCTGAAGTATGTCACATCTATATGAGACATGAGTAAACATTATTTGCTTTAACAGAACTGGCTTTTTCTAGAGAGTAAAGCTCCAAACAGTGCATAATTTCACCTGAAATGTGAAAGTGCGGCCTCATCTCTCCCCTGCTGTTGAAATGGCTTTGCAGGGTGATAACCAGTCCATGGCTGGCTGGCTGGCAGCAGCAGAGAGCTGCGGAGCAGGTCACAGCATAATTGGAAGCAGAACTTGTTCATGATGACAAACATGAGGGAGGGAAATGTGCACTGACTGCCCCTGCTGAGTTATCTTGCCATATTTAATTATAAAGCACCTGCTGGGTTGTCCTGGCTTTAATGGCTTTGGAAATATGATCCATTAAAGGAAATCTTGCTGGCAAATAGACTTGTACAGAGTGACTCGCTGGGGAGATCTGGATTTGTAACCAAGTTCATTGATAAAACTTACAGCGTGTGTGTTGCTGCCTTCTCGATGTACTGACAAGGCTGGTTTGGCTCTGGTTCTTTGCTGCTTCTGGGGTGCTCTGCTTTTCTGACTCCTGCCCCTTATTTATCATCTCCGTACATGTTCTCCCTGGGTTGGGCAGGTGTGAACAGGAATAAGCTTAGGGAATGCTGTAAATGTCTCATTGCAGCATCCTGGTCTGGCATCCTCTAGACCTGCCCTCGCATTAGAGCCAGGACAGTCAGTCATTGAGTATTCTGGGGTTAGGCCAAGCTCTGGTTTGAAAAGTAGTCTTTTTATTCAGTTGCCAAGATGGGGCTATCAGTCAAAACAGATGTGCATAAACATAAACAAGAAACTTTTCACTTTCATCATGGGAAAAGCATGAGTACAAACAGGCAGAAGAGCTGATTGTTTGAGGTGCTCAAGTGCTGCCTTCCACTATCTGCAGAAACCTTCTGGGATTGGAGCTGAGTAAGATTCTGCGTAGGCAAATGAGGCTGCAGTTTCAGTTGTTTACTCCTCATCTCCAAAAGGGAAGTGCAGATGAAAGACAAGGCACCATGATTGTTCCAGCAGCTTGGTCTGTAGCTCTGCTGAGGGAGGAGAGAGAAAAGAGATGAGTTACCCTTTAAAAAGGCTTTCAACGTCCATTGCTGTGGATTAAATACACTTTAAAGAGCATGCTCATTATTAACAACATCTTATTTTTGGGCTTTGCTAATAGTGCATATTTCTACATGCTCTCCAACGTGTATAAATAAATGAAAGATGAATTGGAAGAAAGGTTGATTTGATTTTGTTACTCCTGTTTGCAGAGCCTACAGAGCAAGCACAATTCTCCAGCAAACAGTGTCTCCATTTTGGGTGAATTTAAACCTGAAACTCTATATAGAGCTTGGAAGGATGAGACATGGAGAAAATAAAGTGTAAGCAGGCCTATAAATGCATACACAAAAGTTTACAAAGCAAAAGCTGGGAATTGTGTGCTGCTGGGGAGCTACTGCCTTCAAATGTGTTCAGTGCATTTGAAAGAGGACAGTGCAATGCTCATCATCTGCAGAGTCTGAGGAGCATCCCAGTGCCTGCTCTGGGTCCAGGCTCCAACTGCTCTGGCACGCTGCTGCTGTGCAGTTTTTCCAAGCTCTCTGGCAAGAGCCTGTCACCTACTGTCAAAGTCTGGTGGTTTTGTGCCACCATCTGGTCAAAGGTTTTGTTCCTTAATTTGCCCATGATGAGCATCTTCACCTCAAAAGGAGCAGCTCTGCCTGACAGCTCCTGCTCCAAGCAGGCAAAACAAAGACTTTCTTTGCTGGACACGGCCCGTTTCCTCCCATTGAGAAAGTTGATGTAAAAGCCAGCTGGGCTTTGCAGGAACAGCACATGGATGTTGGAATCCTGTGTGTGCTGCTGGCTCCTGCTGCCTCTCCAAGAAAGCCTCAACTTCCAGAGGTCTGGCTAAATTGCAGTCAGGTAGGTACCTATTTGCCCTCGAAGCGACTTGGATGCTTTCACTTTGGGGAAGAAATTGGAGGTGGTGCTTAGTCTGCTGTCTGGACAGTGGCAGTTCCAGAGCAGTACAAGGGCACTCTTCTGGGGGGGATGTTTTGTTCAGACCTGTTCTTCCCTGTCTTGGCAGCAGGTCGGGATCACTTGTTTTCTGTCTTGGGTTTGACCCCACCACCCTTGGCTGTAGGCACACATGGCTCCTGGGACAGGGTTGCATCAACCTGCCACGCTGTAGCCAGACGATGGTGCTGGAAGGCAGCTGACCATGCAGGCAGGGTGCCCTGGAGCCCAGTTTAGCCCAGTTAGCACTGGGATGGCACGTGTGGCTCTCTGAGGATGTCAAACCATTGTCCTTGGCATTGAGTGAGCCTGCAGCAAGACTCATTTGGATCCTACTTCAAGACCACATCCCTGCACATGCATGGTGGCTTTCCAGAGCAGCTTGCTGGAGGGTCTCCCAGTATTACAAACAACTGCTGATCAGAGACTTTTTGGGATAAAACAAGCACAATCACTGCTGCACATCCCGAGGTTACAGTGAGTTTATACTGTGTTGCCTGAGGCTTATTAGTTCTAAATACATTATGAATCCTGAGGTTAGGAATGCTAGAGCTGAGACTTCTGAGAAGAAGGAAGGGATTTGGGCTTTTTCTTTTAGCCATGTCCCAGTAGAGCAGCAACTAACTAGTGAATGACGATGCAAATTCCAACTGCAACAGCAAATCTGATGAACAGGAATAATGGTCTCAGCTCTTTTTCTCCCTCCAGGTTGTCTGCAGACCTGGCACAGTGAATCACCCAGTGCTAGAAAGTTGTCAGCAACCTTAAATACTAGAAAATAAAGGGGGTTTGGGTGGCTTTTTGAGGGGGTAAAAAAAAGGGAGTATTACATTTTGGATCCCACTGCACAGCGAAGGTGTTGCATCTGCCAATTCCTCGCTTGAATCATGGCATAAAGAGGCCTTGTGCTTTATTGCTGGGATAAATAGCACTGCTTTGTGGAGCTCTACATTATGCTGTTTTTCATTAGGCCTCTGGTGCACGAGGAAAGAGCAGGGGAAGTGGAGCTGAGGAAGAGGAACACCCTTACGAGCTGCTGCTTACAGCAGAAACTAAGAAGCCCGTTGCAGTGGATAGGAAAACGAAAGGTAAGTGCCCATTCAAAGAGCAGAGCTGTTTGCTTAGATGCATTTAAAGGAAAATATAGAGGGCAGAGAGTAACTGGAACAGTTAAACTTTGTTGGGTGGGGTTGCTGGATCAGCACTGCAATTGTTTTGTTTCCTGGTAATCTTCACTTTTAGAAAGGAGAGATCTAAATGTTCCTGTACAAAATGTACACGGAGGAAGGGCAGCTCTATTCTGACAACTAAGAGATTGCAAAGACCTCCTCTGTTAACTTGGAAAATAAGCAATTCCTGGGCAGAGTCAAGTGAATGCAGAGGGGTGGAAGAGATGAGCTGATACAAGCATTCAGATGAACTGTATTCTCCATCCAGCTGAACTTGAAGACCTGCTGGTGTCGCATGTTTATACCAGCAGATGATTTGCCCTGCTATCCTGGTCTTAAAATCAGCATCCCCCAGTGTATTAAAGCTAATTTGAGATGTAAACTAACAAAGGAGAAAAGCAAACACGTGTCGAGCAAGCTCCTTTCTACAACTGACTGAAAATCCACTGTATAGCCAGGTTAAGTATCAAACTAGTCTCTTTTCTCCCAGAGGGACTCCTGTGCTTTACAAGGGATCTGGGAACACCTTGTCTCTTGTGTTTGGCTGGTGCCGGGCTTTTTGGCTTTCCTTCAACAACAACAAAAGATTAAAGGAAAAACATCTCTTGCTTTATTCAAAAGTCCTGAGCAGGAATTTTGAAGGATTTAATTTGGACTCTAAACCTGGAAACCATCTCACTGAGGATGAACAGAGGATAATGAGGACTTGATGTGATGCCTCATTGACTGCTCTGTAAGACCTGCAGCTTTTTTTCTTCCCTTCTTGCAGCATGATAGCTTTCATTCCCTGAGTCCTGCTCTACTCCAAGCTTGGATAGGGTGGCACAAGAGGTCATTGTTTTCCCACCAGCATTTGCCAAAGCCACTTGCTGCCGGAGGCAAAGTTAGGATGCTTTTCAGGTTGGTGCTTTGTGGTCTCAACCAGGAATAGTCCTTGGGTGACAGCCATTGAACCAGAAGCTTTCAGGCTATCTTTTCAGTGTGCAGCTATTGCTGGTTATTCAAGTGTGAGCTATTCCTAACTGCTTTGCTCCTTTGTCTAGCTACTGTGTCCAGGCTTCATGAATATGAGTGAAGGTGTGTCATAATTGTGTGTCAGATTAAAATAAAACCTCAAAGTAATGCATCTGCTTTGTCCTCTGAACACATGAAGACATTAGTACTGAAGGCATCTAAGCCCCATTTCATGGAGAGCTTACAGGAAGCATCTTAACAGGAAGCCTGTTAAGGATCCAGAGTGAAGTCATGTCATAATGAAGAGCTAGAAAGATAATAGCTGGGACTTCAGGGTTTGGTCTGTGGACAGTGTTACTGTTTTTGTAACAGACCTAGAGCCCTTCCCACTGTAGTGGTGGGAAAAATCCAAGGATGCAGTTGAGTTTTCTCATCTTCCAGGACTTTGTCTGCTCTCTTAAATGCAATTAGCACTGACTGATGTGGTGGAGCTGTGGATCTGGTGGAGGTGAAGAGCTGCTCCTTGGGAGAAGGGGCCCAGCCCGTAGGTTTCTCATCTCTTGCATTTCAGCTTGTTGGGGCCATCTTCCATTGCTCTTCCTGGTGGACCTGGAGAAAGAGACATGATTGTTTCTTCCTTCTCCAGAGGGTACCAGCTGATTCCATGACATCCCAGAGTGATCCCTGTGGCATGAGCACATGTGTGACCATGTCCCCAGCCGGCAGCTCTCCCTATACTGCAGGAGCTGCTGAGCTTTGACAGGGGCCTATGTCATCTTCCACCTCTGCTTGTGGACTTCAGGCTTCTCAACCCCAATATGAAAAGAGACACTGGCTACTCTCCTGGTGTGTGTTGTTCATCCCTTCGTTCTGTCCCAGCCTTACAGGTTGCCTCTTTCTGCACAAGAGTTTTCTAACTGCTCTGGGAGAGTGGATCAGCTTTGAAATCTGCTTTATTGCACTGGGAACAAAAGTAAATGTTTCCTGCTTTTGCAGTAGTTGGGGTCAGATGCCAGAAGGACATATGGAAGTAGATGTAGCAAGTATGAAACGTAAGGTATATACTGATAGGGATGGGGGAGAAGATGGATTTAGGGAGTAACAGAATCATTTTGGCAAGAAGTTAAACAAGGGCTGAAGGAGCCTTATTTGGGGTGTTAGAGAATTTTCCCACCTCTGGATCAGAAGGGTCCTGGAGCATCAAAGGCAGCAGCTCAATCCCAAGACAAGGAGCTGGCTGAACATGGCTTTGAATTGCTTCTTGGCTCTCAATCTGAGAGACTGGGATTCTAGATGTTACTTGATGCATTCTGGAGGAGCCTTTGGTCGGAAGAGGAGGACCCTGATTCTTGTGGGGGATTGAGAAGGGCTTTTGAGGGCAGCTGAAAGGCTGAATTTCAGGCATGCTGGGTTTAATGGTGCCTTTCATATGTGATAGCTGCCTTTGTTTCTCTGGCTGTGAGTTGTCTTGTATCCAGTGAAGAGATGAATGTGGTATTATCCGCCTGGCCTTGGTTGCCTTTTGTGTCCCTTGCAGCAGTTTGCAGTCACATGCTGGAGTACTGGGAAAAGTTGGCCTCATGTTTTAGGCAGAGTATCAGAAGTGTTTGAAGCCAAATGCTTTCCCATCCCTTTTGGTAAGGAAACTACGTGCAATCACATGCATGAAGTCAGGGTGTTCAGGACTTGTAACAAGGCCAAGGGTGGTGAGCTGTGTGTGGACTGACCGGGAGGAGACAGTTCACCTCCTCCTGCGTTCAGAGACCTGATGGAGGATGGATGCAGAAAACACTGCTGAGTGTTGATGTCTGTCTTGCTTCTCAGGAGAGTCTTCACAAGGGCTGTCGGCAGTAATCAGCTGCAGGTAGGACTCAATTGGTTCCTTCGGATAGTTTTAAAACCTGGTATTTGTTGAGGTTCTGCTGTGCTGCTTCCATAGGAAGCCCAGCTTGAAGTGCCTACTTTGCCCTTCCTCTTGCTAGAGTTTTTCTTTGTGGCTATACTGGTTCAACCAGAGGTACGACTGAGCTCTAAACCAAGGTCTGAAATGAGCCAGCAATAAAAACCAAAACAGGCTGCAGAGAGATTTAAAGGAAATATCTCTCCACAGAGCCAGATTATGGCCACAGGAGCAGCAGGATGGATATGACTTTAGGAAATCCTTGGGGACACATGGGTATTGCAAACAAAGGTTGGTTTACCATGAGATGAATGATAGTGTAGAACCACAGCCTACATGCCCTCCTTTGGTTTCATCGTGGCTGGAGGACAGATCCCTTTCCATGTCTCAGGTCCAAGCCCTCATTTCTGTTGTCATCATGTGTTTAGAAGCTTCTCTGCAGAATCATATTAAGCAACTAGGGCAGTGTTTTACTGCCTTTCCTTAAAGGGGAATAGGGGAGGGAGTACAGAAGAGCACAAGTTCAGGCAGCTTTTGCAGGACAAACTCTACCCAGAATGACTGAGCTTGGTGAGACTAATCCAGGAGCACACTGTACAGGTCTGGATTTCACATGCAGTACCTCACTGTAAATGAGCCTTTGGTTCAGTTTTACTGCAGCTGAAGGTTATTTTTGCACTTCTAAAGTGCACTATAAAGGCCAGTTTCCTCCTTGCTGGCTTTCTATGCCACAGGAGATAGTTTTGCATGCTCCTCACTTGACAAATTCTGGCATGATGTAGCACAGGGAGCCTTTTCCATATCAAAGTTAGAAGCTAGGGTATGCCCTTGCTAGTTTTGAGGTTGAGGAGCTTAAGCAAAAAGCAACTGCAATAACAGCTTCATTCTCCTAATCCAGGGACATGGAACAAATCCTGCTGATGATATATAGGAAAAGAAATTCAATCAAGGCAGGGCAGTTGCAGCTCAGTGTTAGGAGTTTAGGGAAGTGCTTCATATCTGGAATCATCAGGCTGCTGGCAGGGAAGCCCGTAACTGAATCCTGCCTGGGAAGCTGACATGCTGTACCCAGAAAGGGGCTCGTGTTCCTGTTAAGGTGCTGGAAGCAGCCTCTCCTCTTGGTGAAACCTGCAGCAGGCATTGGCTGAAGAAGCCGGGATCAGCCAGATGTCTGTGTTTGGGTGTAAGATCAGCTTAGGGGAGCCGGACAGAAGTCCCTGTGTTAAGGACAACTCCTTTTCTGAGTTTAAACATGTAGGAAGGTGCTTTCACATCCCTTGGAGTGCAGCAGATGGATGGAACGGGGGGTTCTTGGCTTTTCTAGCACCTGAATATTATTTTTCCCTTCTCCAAATTCACTACACCCTTGGAAAATGACTATTGTTTTCATCTTCGTGCCACAAGAAAAGCAATCAGCACAATCAGCTGGATCATGTCAGTAACCTGTCCCAAAAAGGTCTATCTTCCTGACATGGCCAGTGGTTGTTCTGGTTGATCCCGAGGCCCCTTTAGTTGAAACCCCAAAGGCTAAGGCCTGGTTAACCCTCAGGGTTCCTGCCACATGCACCTCAATGATAAGAAGAAACAAATGACTCTTCCTACATGAGTTCTTCTGTCTGCAGCTTTCAGGGCAGGTTCTGAAACACACTGAACATCTCCTTCATGATGTTCCTCACACCTTCTGAGCAACTGCTGTTGCTCTTGCTTCATCCCTTCCTTCCTTGGCAGCTCCCTTGTATTTCAAGTCCTTCATGGGCTTGAGGATGAATGGTGGCTGTGATTTCTGTTCAACAGCAGTCCTTTTGTGAGGCTCTGGAGCTAGATTTGAAGCATTTTGTTCTGGCTGGACTCAAGTGTTCCAGCATGTGGCATAAACTTTCACCAGCCTCCTCTCTGCCTTCAGCAGAAATGTCAGTAAAGGTTAAGCTGGGACACGGAAGAAATGATTCCCAGGGAAGGAAAGAGGCTGAGAAGAAAGGCTGTTGATTTTGCAGGAGTTTTTCCCTCCACATTAGGTTACTGCGACTGTCCCTTCAGTGCTGTGTTCCTCTTCCCAGGTCAGTAGCTTTACCTTATTCAGACCAGTCTGTCCTGTGAATGCAGCATGTCTGATCTCCCCTTGGGTTTCTCTCCACCATTACAGCTTCATAACTTTACGCAAAGTAACTGAACATAGTCTGGTCTTTTGATCTCCTGACGGGGTGCTGTTACTGGCACTCCCCAGTGTTGGGAATGGTGCTGGTGACGCCACCTGCCCACGGGGAATGTGCCTCCCCCTTGGCAACCTCAGTCACACAACTTGTGGTTCATGTGCCCGTGCAGGATCATCAACAACTACTTCATTGTCCTGGAATCTTTAACTCATAGCATCCAGACTGCAATAAGGCCTCGCATCACTTGATCCCAGTGGGAAGCGTGGTCTACGGCACGCTGCCCGGGCAGTCAACCTCCGCTCGGGCTGCTGCTGCTCCTGACTCAGCTGCCAATGGGGCAAACTGCTCTGAGCATCCTGTGGAGTAAACACAGGCTGGTGAGAGGGACCAGCTCTGCTCAGAACACCTCTGTCTGTTCAGCAGACAGAGGCCACAGTACAGCCCATCTAAGCTGGCTTGCAAAGACCAGTGGCTAATTTTTTCCTGCTTCATTCCTAGTGTGAGGACACAAAAGCAGATGGGTGTTAGCGTGTGAAAATGATCTGGTCAAGTTTAGTGCTGGGAGGGGTGCTTCTGGGGAAGAAGCTGATCTCTCTTTTGTTGCCAATAGGCTGCTTTCAGTTAGAGATAAGTAAATCTCACTAGTGTATTTTGCCTCACTGAAATGAGGATTCCTTTGCCTTGGCTTCTGAGAGCTGCTGTCTCGCAAAGCAAGCAATTTCCTCTTCACATCTAAACATCCTCCCTGCATTTCAGAGCCATGTTATCGGGGTCTGAACATCCTCCCTACATTTCAGAGCCACGTTATGGGGCTGCTTTGCTTTATTGTTCTTTTGCAGCATCATTTTTTTAGTCTTCAGAATGCAGAGTGTTTCTTCAGCACTAAATGAAAGTGGTTCAAACTTGCAAATAATTATGGGTGGATATAGGAATCCTTGGTGAATGAAAGCTAAGCTCTTATCTTTACAGAGTTTTGCTTTTACAGTTCAAATGCACGTTCAGCTGTGGCCAGGGTGAGTGCATGTATGTCTCTGCACACACTTGGCAGTTGGGATCAGTCAATTATTCATGATCGATGCAGGACCATGGTACCTGATATTAAAGATGTTGGTGTAACAGTGTTGTGTTTCTGGGACAGCCGGTGCTCCACTGCCTTAGCAGATGAGACCATGCTGTGTTCAGTGCTTCCCCTGTGAGAGAGAGACTTCTTGAACAAGTCTTTTTATTGCCTCAACTGTTTATTTCTCTCCCCTGAGTAAGGAGGAGAGGTTAAACTCGGAAACCACTAAGGAGGAAAGCAGTGGTTGTTTTTGGGGAATGCATTTTGGAACTGGCAGGTTGATTACAGTCCAGAAGCTTCCCCACCCTGCAGCTCGTGCCAAGAGCAGGGAGCGCTGCTCTAAATAACACTTTGGCCTTTATGGAAATCTATCAGATGTTCCAGGAGCCTCCGACTCCGCTTCTCCTACCTCACTTGCTCTCTCTGCAGGATATAGTTAGCACTTCTCTTAGCCTTATATAGCAAGGCCTGATAGTTAGTGTTAACAGGAATAAAACAACAAGGAGAGCTGCCAGATTGCATAAATCAGGCCAGTGTTTGGAATTTCATAAATGCCATGACTTTGGGTACAAGTTGAGCACACGGAACAATACGGAACTGTTCTCTCTTTATCTCTGCCTCCCTTGCTGAGGGAAGGCAGGGGGGAGAGATGGAATTTTGCTGTTTCTTCCATGTTTTTAACTTCCTCCCCCCTGCCCTGTTTTCATCTCCTTGAAGACCACAGGAGGAGCAGTGGCGGCCGCAGCCAGGACTCTGCTGATGGTCAGGACATCCAGGTTCCGGAGCAGTTTTCAGGGTTGCTTCACGGTTCTTCCCCGATCTGTGAGATAAGTGAGGACCCTTTCAGGCTCGTTTCCTCCGTGGAGAAAGGAGGCACAGAAGCTACAAGCCAGGCACGTGCTATGCAGCTGGAGGATGCTGCCTTACCTGCCTGTGGCTCAGTACGGACCAGCTCTCCAGACCAAACCCAGAAAGTGGTCTACGCGACCGTGCAGCACACGCATGTCAACCGGGCGGATCCTGGAGCTGTAGTCACGCCCCACGTGCCCCAGCACCCCAGCGGTGCTGAGGAAGAGGGGGACAGAGCTGTGGGCAGAGCCCACCCGGGCAGCAAACCCAAAGCTGAGCTCAAACTCAGCCGCAGCTTGTCGAAATCGGACTCTGATCTTCTGACCTGCTCCCCGACAGAGGACGATGCCATGGGGAGCCGGAGCGAATCGCTCTCCAACTGCAGCACTGGGAAGAAAAGGCTGGAGAAGTCCCCGTCCTTTGCTTCCGAGTGGGATGAGGTAAGGCTGACCTTGCTTAAGAGCTTCTGTGCCAGGAATGAATGTGTACAGCATGAGCTCCTCTCTTCCACACGGGTGGGGGTTCTGGCTGGTTCTCATTATTTGTACTAACTCTCACATTGTAGTAACAGTCAAATGCTTGCTTGTGTTTAGGGTGTCAGATGCCAAAAGACTGGGTTAATCGCAGTGGGGGAGAACTGCAAGAAGTGAGGGGCTTTACAAAGTTTAAGTTGCTCACATTCAGGGCTTGATTTCTTTTTGGCAAGCCAGATGTGGTTCTACATCCCCAGAATGAGGGAGAGTTGATAACGGTGCTCTTCCCAAATCCATGTTGACCTCCTCTTTCCAGTTCTTCCCCTATGGACTCTCCCAGCATCCAGAGGGGAGATGTTTTGTCTCTGGGTCCCTGCTGCCAGAGGGGTGAACAGTGTCCTGGGTTCAGGGGATGGAAGGAAGGGAGTAATTAGACTTTGTTTTAGGTATTTAACATCTTCCACTTTCCTCTTCACATATTTATTTCAGAGGCTTGTTAGCAGTCACTTTATTATAGCCCAGGAAGCCTATGGATAGTTAAATATTTCATGCTCAGAAAGTTGGCCCTAGTGAAGCACTCGGGCGAGATTAAGTGTCCCTCTGAAATTCAGCACCGCAGCATTACTGAAACATTCTTTGGAGATGATTCTCTGCTGGTGGAGCAGCAGCACTGCACAAGAGATAAGCTCACATGAACCACTCTTTGTACACTGAGAGGAAATAAAACCCCTGCCGTGGTGCTGGGGGTGTGGAGCTGTGTGTGCTGGGCATGGGCTGGTTGTGCCCCTGCTCGTCTGTCCTCTGTGTGCTGAGTGATGCTCAGCTGCCTCTCTGATAGAGATAAAATCGTCTTTTATGGATGAGGGAGATACTCAAAGGTGCTAAAAGCAAAGTGGGAATTCCTCTTTGGTATGAGGTTATCCTTCAGTTCATACTCTCACTCACTACAGTGTTTCAGGGGCCAAATAGATCTATTTTCCTCTGTAGTTGTTTTGGTTGTAGAGACTTTGCTGTTAATCACCTGGGTCAGTTGAATCACAATGTTAGTGAAGGAACCTGCAGCAGAAGCCAGAGTTGAAAAGACTGGGTAATTCTCACTGTGCTTTTCATGCTGAACTGAATTGTTTGCAGCAGATATTGAAAGGGAAGAAGCCTTTGGCTTTGCAGTGCTGCATGTAGTAGCAGAGGTCAAGTGTTAGTGTGCCTGTGTTTCCTCTGCTCAGAGGAACAACCCCCAGACCTGCTTCCCTGCTTGTAAACAAAGAGCATCATTTCCACCCAGTGTCAGCCTAACAAGCCACAGGAGGAAAACCTGCTTTTCCTTCCCATTCTGCTGAGGTGAGGAAAGCAGAGAAAGAATGTGAAGAATTCTCATCTGGCTGCAGCAGGGCAGGTCTAACTTAGATTTGTACTCTAAAACCTGATGGTTTTGTCTTCCTGGTTTCTGGTGTAATTTAAACAATTTGTGGAATTGCTTTAATCTGGGAGCAGCATCCTGTGGCTAGAGCACTGATTTGCCTGTCATGGACCAGCCAGAATGAGCCTGGACAAAGGTTTCTCCTCCCTGCCTCAGTTTCCCCATCTGAGAGATGACAATAGCCTCTTCTTGCAGGATGGTTTTGTTCCCACTGAAAACACTATGGAAAGTGAAATACTGTCATAAGAAAGGGGACAGACTATCAGCTGGTGATTCACTGCCTTTACCTTGATTTGCTCTTAGATTTCTAAAGACTACAGAGGCATTTTGGGTCTCCTGACTCCTGGTAGCACCCTGATGCTGTGAGCAGGAGGGGCACGGTTCCCAGAGCATTCTTCTATAGAAGCAACATAAAATGGATCTGCTGATAGGAGTTTATATGGTAAATACTTCGGTAAAATAAACCACCTGTGATGGTTAAGAAACAGTAAAGATGCTTCTATGGGGAGTGTTTGGGGTTTCTTTGCAGTGATTTGTATGTGCTGGTCATAATGGCAGCAGTGAGATTTAAGCATCAGTTAGTGCTGTGCTTGGAGGTTTCATTAATTCCCTGAATGGGATAATGCAGCTGCTCTGAATTAGAATTGCAGCCTCTGAAGTTATCAGGCTGATATAAAGCCCTGTTGAGCCACCCCTGTTAGCAACGATTTGGCTTTTCCTGTGTGTTGAGGGGAAACAATGGCAGATTTATGGGCATTATTCTGTTAATTTTCATAGTCTTTATGCAGGCAACTGGAGAGGAAAGCGATCCATGTGCAGCTCCATGCAACACGCAGCTGCAGCAGACAGGAGGCTGTGGGTGTTGCCCACTGGCTTTGCCAGCAATAGGTGTGTCAGTGGGGCCCCTGGGACTTGGGGAGGGACCTGTTTATGTCTGTGGGCAGATGGGATCCATGGGATCCAGCCAGCATCGC